GACAGCAACACGGTTTTATTTAACCATCATTCATTTAACAAATTAGCAAGTATCAATAAAACAAGATCTGTTAGTGATCGCATTTATTTTGCGTAGATAACTGTTTCTAGGTGTCGATTTAGGTATAAGTATAAAGCGAAAGGCGTAGGAAAACGAATGAAAATCAATATGGAACAACGTTGCTTGAAAAAATAATAAAAAAGGAGAAGAGGGGGAGATCCAGTTTTCCTGCTATATACTTAACGTTTATTACCAATCGTTCTTAATAAGAAAGAGAGAATACAGACAAAAAGCAAAGCGTAAGAGGGATCCCTTCAAATATTTGTTCTGAGGTTTATTTTATGAGGGTGAGGGTTTTGCTTCAGACTTCCAGCTTTAATTCGCGTTATATTGTGACTTCTAGAGTAGGAAGTTCTGCTAGTTTGTAGACTTTACCGTCCCGATTAGTGGCAACAGTGCTTGATATAAGCTTTATTTGATAAATATGATGTGGTGTACAAAAAAAATGAAACAGAACAGAGCAAGAAGAAAGAGGCGAACCCATTATATCCTTTTGTTTTGTCGATGTTACATTGTACAGAAAAAACGAAACGAGGGAAAAGATGCATCTGAAAGCGAAGAAACGAACTATGAAGAAAAGCAGGTGCATGAGAAACTGATGGTATATCTCAGAAAACAGAAGTGAGATAAGTAGTACTCAGAAACGCTGGGTACGTTTGATATACTATACGATTATTTTATGTAGCCAGATAATTGTAGATAGCTTCAAGTCTTGGCCATCGAACGGTGAGAATCACAAGTCTTGATCTTGTGTTCTCTTCGAGTTATTCAAAAAATAACGACCGCCCTTGTTTTTTGAAACGGATAGTAGCTATGCTAAAGAAAAAGCTGAGAGAACAAAGAGACTGACAGCCGGGAAACGTTTTTTCCTTAATCACCAATGTTAGCGTTATATAACCTAATAAGGCAAGAATGATTTCATTCAAGTTGAGTTTTTCGAAATTTTCACTCGTATCGTACAATATTAGCGCAAATCGCACATATCTGCGTGTTACTTGAAAAAAACACTTATCATATAAGAAAAATTTTTGTTTGGTACTCAAGGAAGTATATTACAAGTATCAACCTATATGTGATACGTTCGACAAAACATGTGAGAAGAGAAAAAATACATTTTTGTTTCCGGTGAAGACACGCGTATATATATAAAAGATATGAAAAATGGAATAAACTGAATGATACCTTTAGAGTAAATAAACAGCACTGAAAGAAAGAGCTAAAAGACATCAAGAAATTTGCTCTGTATGTACCTATTTTTGAAATCAATCTCTAGCTGAACCTGAAATGATTGCATCATGTTCCCAAAGAGAAAGCCGGGTAAAACATATGTAATATTACGTGCTCTGTCTAATGAGACTAAATTTTAGAACTTAGAATTTTGTAATTAAGTTGAAAAGCGAGTTTTGTCTGAATTAAGTTTTTCTTGAAACGCGTATATTTCTGACAATACGCGTTTCCGAAATGTAAAATATTCAAATTCGGATAGAGCTTAAGATTTTATGTATACTGGTAGATTATCAGTATGTGATTGAGAGACACCTTTTCTCATTCAAATCACAAAATATAAAACTCGACTAAATGTTCTCATATCGATGACACGCTAGAACAGAAAAATAAGAACGTGTTTTATCATATGGGAAGAGAGAAAAGAGAGAAGAAAAAACATATTTTCTCTTTCACAGTGAACACGTACTTATATATGCAGAACGGAAAAAGTGAAAAACTTAAGTTTTAAACGTTCAGAAGCAGTTTTATGCAAAACCAATGTGATATTCGGAATCTACGAAGAAAACTGCATCGAATGATATATAATTCGATGTGTCGATGTGTTTCGAGAAAAAAAGTTTTCCTCCTAAATTTTAGGCAAAACACCTGAGGACCTCCGGCGAAAATTTCGAGGAGAACTTTTTGTCTGCCTTCAAGCTCAAACTTAGGTGAAAAAGGTTTCCTGATATGCCCAATCCGAATATCACGGTCTCACGGCTTGAATCGTTGCGGATAAAAAGTGGGTAGTTTTCATATGCATCAGCCGCTGATATTTTATTTAATAAGAACCAAACGTTTTTGGATTATATACAAAATATAAGGAGTGATGTTGTTGTTGATATATTACAATTACAGGAGATAAACTCTGCTCAAATATTATTGTGTGTCGAAAATGCGCTAGACATATTATATCTTGATTGTGAAATTAGCGCATTACTTTGAACAATTGAGATTACATTACTAGACCGGGAATGAAAGAGAATTTTCATTTTTTGATCTATTCGTTGAAATTGAAGGCTAACGAAGATAAACATGGAATTCAATCAAATACTAATACTGGAATTGGTGCTTCATTGGAACAAATAATTGATGCACTTCGGGAGCATTTCAAAATTCTTTACTCTTTTACTTCCTGCTTTACTCCTTTCGTTCTTTACTGTCGTTTAAACAGTCTTTCGTTCAAGAGCAAAACAGTACAATGATTTGATTGTGCTGATTTGAACAGTAAATGGACAATAATGAACAATGAAATCAAATCAAGTATGGTTATCGATGAGAAATTAAGGATATGTATAAATAATTTAGAACTAATCCCGAGATTTGAACCATCTCCACGACCAACTATTATTGAATTAAAAAGTGATCCATATGGTGCATTAGAAAATGAACGAATACAAAACTGAGCAATCTGAATCCGACGATAATCACATTTTAATCAACTCGACATTTTCGCTAAACCCCTCTAGAATAGAAGGCCAGTCTGGAGCGAAAATTTTTGAGAAAACGTTCTGTAGGGCAGTTTTTCACCGAAAAAAAAATCCGATGTGCTAAACCATTATAGAAGGTTATAGCCTTCCATTCTGCGAGGGGCTTTAGACAAATGAAGCTGCACTTTTTCAAGAGATAATTTATGACTCGGTGATATGTATTTTGTAAAAGTAACATTTTTGAACTCTTTCTAATGGAAAAGATAATTATTTTTATAGTTTGCACGAAGTAAATAGCATTTATTATGCCTGAGTACAGTACAACTATTAGACGAAAACGTTCTTAAGATAAGCGATAGTGACCATATCAACTTCATCATCATTTGTTCTAGCGACAACCGATGTATCATTCGCTGGATCGGCTGATGATGTATCCACTTCACCACCATTTGTTGTAGCGGAAGATGAAGTGTCACTTCGGCCGCCACTCGACATATTAGCCGATGAATTATCGACTCCACCGCTATTTGCCACATCATCTGTTGAACCACCAGCAATACCACCGCCTTCACCTCCTGATGCATGTCCAGTTGAATCCATAATTCAGTTGATAACTGGGTTGGACGTTAAATTTTCCTATGTGATCCTATGTACAACAAAATCATTTTTTTATAATGTATCGCTTTCACAAAATGTTTTCTTACTTTCCTTCGTGTCGTTTGAATTCGTTCGATTAAGCTACTTAGAATACGAAAACAGCTCGTTAAATACTTACGTTATGATGCATGTTATTACATTCTCGTGGATTTTTTTTCGAACATTCGATGATGACTAAAAGAAGTAAGCGAAAAAAGTACAAAATTATATGGCTAGAGAAGAGAACGGAAGAAGAAAACAAAAATACGTTTTATGTTCTTTTTATATATTTGCAAAATAACTGTGACCCATCGGGTCCTTACAGTACAAAAGAAAAGTTTACGTATAAATCTTACAGGAAAAGTCTTCACACAGGCGTACCATAAAAAAATAGAAAAAAAAGATAATACATAGAAATTATAATTATCAGAGAACAGTTACTGACTAGCATCTGGATAACACTTAAAAATAAAATAAGAAAGTTCAATAAAAATAGATCAATAAATCAGAAATACTACAGCATACAACCGTTGAAATTAGCAAAATTAGCAAAAGAAAAAATTAGTATTAAAAGGATTTAGGAAATTCACAGAGTTGATCAATATCATTAATGTCAAGCACGGGTAAAGTGTCAGTTAAGGGGTTATCTGAAGTTCACAAAAAGCATTTTTCTAACGTGCTCAGATGCTCAACAAAACGTTTAGAACGATATAACCCACGTATCTGATTCTCTTCATTAAGCCAGAGCGATCTATAAGAATTTAGGTTTATTTGTTCTAAGCGGAGAAAACCATCAATATTATGCGAAAGAGCAGTAGAATATTTGTTCCAGTGTCTAACACATCTATCTGTGAGAGAAATCTCGTTAAACAGGTAGGCGAAGAAGAAATCTGACTAATGGTGACAAAAAACGTCCGTTTTAAGGTTGTATAATAAAAGTGGCACAGGTCTTGTTGTTGCCTACCAGTAAACAGAGGAACAAGGGCAAACAGCCAGGTAAAAAGAGAAAGTACATAACCAAAATATAAAACTCTTCTCACTTTTAAACTGGTACAGCCGAAAATTCTACAGGATCTTATCATTCCTAACCGTTGTCTAATTTTTAGGATACTTCGACTAATCATTTTCGACCAGCCTAATTTTGGAGTCAGCCAATAGCTCAAATACTTGAATTCGGATACGCATCTCATCAGGTGAGATCCACACATTAACTTAAATTTCGGGAGGCCGATAGCTCGAGCAGACCAGAGTGCTTCAGTTTTATCGTAGTTTAACGGGTGAAAAGCCAATAAGAAAAAAAAAATTCAAGATAATAAAAGAAAACAGTCAGTCTTTTTTCGAAGTCTATGCATTATTCGGTGTACCTAATCCCGATACGACCTGCCATAACCGCAGCCAGATCGTCAGCAAAAAAGAAAGCTAAAGTCATTTCTAAAAAATCACTCATGTCAGAGTAATAAGTGATGAATAAAGTTGGTGTAAAACCAGATTCTTGAGGACCACCTCTGAAAATTGAAAAAATCCGTGACCTGTATCCATCAATTTCGATAAACTCTTTTCTACCTATCAACCATGCTCTTATCCAATTTACATATGCTTTGTTGTTGTAGGTCACGGATTTTTTCAATCTTCAGAGGTGATCCTCAAGAATCTAGTTTTACACCAACTTCATTCATCACTTATTACTCTGATATGGGTGATTTTTTAAAAATGGTTTGAGCCCTCTTTTTTGCTCGAACCCTGTTAATCTGGATGAAGAGATAATTGTGGTTGTGGAGCTGAATATGATACACTCGATCAATGACACTGCCCCGGATAAATTGAGGAGTGAAACTGGGCTTGTGTGGCACGGACGGATGAATGAGACCCTAATCCACCTTACATCACCACGTGAGTTGTTAGAGAGTTTAACCCATATATTTGTACACTACGGAAACACACAGTTATTAGGTTGTGGAAAAAGTTCGTGCGCCATGTTAAAATAATGATTTTTTATATATTTTTTTTTGTGTTTTTGATCTGGTTTTGTGGCTATTATGAAAATTTATTGATTTTTTAAGATGTCTGATTACGAAATCACAAATTTTGA